GCGTGTAAAATCTAAGAATTTATTAGCCAATGGCTAATGTTAGACATCATTTAGTCGCCCAGAGTAAGATTTAGTCGCATATGCGAGTGATTTACTCGCAATGTAGAGGGTTGACTAATCACAGAACCGGCTTTACTGACAAGATGTGCATGACAATTAATCGCGTTCAATTAATCGTGCAGCTCTACTGTCCTGAGTAAGATATATTACATAAAAGATGTTTACATATAGTCCACAAGACAAAAAATCTGCTGAAATTATTAAAATAACCCCCTTCAAAAGTTTGTGAACCCTTGGTTCTTAATACTGTGTGTGTCACCTGGATGATCCACGACTGTTTTTTTTGTTTTGTGATGGTTGTTCATGAGCCCTTGTTTGTTTTTGAACAGTTAAACTGAGCACTGTTCTTCAGAAAAAATCCTCCAGGTCCTGCAGATTCTTCAGTTTTCCAGCATCTTTTGCATATTTGAACCCTTTCCAGCAGTGACTATGCTCCAGAAGGAAACACGATGCATTAAGAGCATTTAATGTGTTAAAACACATCAATTACAGCAGCTTCTGAATGTGTGTGTTGTATGTAATCAGAAGCGGTTGTTAATTCATGCTGTTATTGTTTCTGCACTAGGTCTGATGGCGTTTGAGACGGGAGCGAAGAAGGCGGAGAAGAGGAAGAAGGTGAAAGGTGGAGATGCGTCGGACATGGACAGCTTCCTCGGTCCTTGGGCCAAATACCAGGATGAGAAAGACGTGGCCAAACCCTCAGAGGTGAGACGTTCACAACCTTCAGTTTACGATGAGATGAATCAATATATGATCAAATACGTTTTCGAAGTTGTAAATAAACATTTGAATACGTTTTACAAGAAAACACTTATTTATATAGCAATTTAATAATTTATATAGCCATATCTGAATGAAAATCGATTCAAAGTAAATCCTTTTAATTAGGGATGCACCGATACCGATACTGGTCTCCTGTACTCGTACTCGTTAAAATAAATCACGCTGAGTGGATTGAGCGCGTGGAGGCGCAGATGCGCGAGCTTGTCGAGTGAATATATCTTTCTCACAGACATCACTGGAAAGTTTGTAGTTCGGGCG